CCTGTCAGTCAGACAGAAGGAAGGAAGGAAGGAAGGAAGGATAGAACAATAATGTCAGACCAGAAACTGATTTTACTTTGGAAGAATTTGGATTTAAATCAGACCTCAGAATCTGTATTTACAGTTTACAACATATTCATTAATTAAAATATTTTATAATTCTCTTTTAATTCCAAATGCAGCAATAATTAACATTCAGTATCATCAACTGTTGAAGCTCAGCCACCGATCTTCCTTTCAGGGGACTGATATAGATCTATAGATGATTGATAGATGAACCACTTTAATCATTGCAGTCAAATCACTCTTCAGAATCATAAAGCAAAACAAACACCACAAAGAGAAAACAGAAAAACAGACAGAACTAAAATCTTGAAACTAGAAAGAAAACTAAAAATACGCAAAGATAGTACTTGGTAATATTCACTGTATATGTATGTACAGTGAATATTTACCCTACTGTTAAATATACAGAACGAAAGCAAAGATCAAAATAAGATTTGGTTGTTGAGGAGGCATTTCCTTGGAGGGTCGCCACAGTTAGGTACTGGGATGAAATCCTCACAGCCAGTGTCAGACATTATGCTGGTGCAGTTGACCCTGGTTTCTTCCTGGTGCAGTGGGACCACTAGATACCATCCGCCGTCTCATCAGGAGCCCAGACACTCAGGAGGGCCGAACACATTTACATTTACTCATTTGGCAGACGCTTTTATCCAAAGCGACTTGAGGAACAACATACAAGCATCAATACAGCACGAGATCTACAACTGACAATAAATGCTAGTAAGAGCTAATAGCATGGAGGAAGTTCATGTTAGAGGTTAGTGCTTAGAGGTGTTATCAGAGGAAGTGTTCTCTGCAGAGTGTTCAGGAGCTTCTTGGAGTCAGAGAGGGACGCCGCTGCTCTGACGGCGTGCGGCAGCTCGTTCCACCATCGTGGCGTCACAGATGAGAACAGGGACTGAGGTCGCTTTGTGTGAAGGGAGGCAGAGCCAGGCGGCGTTCGTTGGAGGAGCGCAGTGGCCCAGAAGGAATGTAGGCTTGGCTTATTGAGTTTAGGTAGATGGTTTAGAGCCACCTAAATGCCCTAATACAAGCCTACGTTCCTTCTGGGCCTCCTCCCCCGAACACACTGCTGAGTCACATGATGAGTTGCCCTGATGAAAGTCATCCGGTTGGATCAGCTGTGGTTTCAGTTCCTTACTTTGATTGTTGTTGTGATTTTGAATCCAGCCCTCAGTCGGTTGGTGATTTTCATTTTTATTGTAGGCGGTAGGTTGATGTTGAAGTTGGTCAGAGTGGAGCTCATTTGAACTTCTTCAAAAACCTTTGGTAGTTTAATCTGTAACTATGGATCACATGTTTTGTTTGTAATGTCTTTATTATTAAAAGTATTAAATTAGCTAATGCTGTCGGATAAATGTGGTGATGGAGAAGCAGATAAATATTTAAGTAAACTACCCCAAAATTGTACTCAAGTACAGTTGTTGAGTAAACTCCACTCCTCATATGGTTTAATGGAACATGTTGATTTATTTCTCCTATTAGTGAAAATTACCGGAGCGAAAACCAACATGTTGGAGTGTTTCTAACTGCAAACAGTCGACTCGCTGACTTTTTATTGTAATTATTATTTATTATTAATAGTATTTTATTGTGTTTTTATTTTGTTTTGTATTTTATTTTGACAGAAACAACAAACCACTGAGCAAAAAGAGAGAAAGAGGTAAATCCTGTCTGTGAGTCCAGCAGCAGGATTATGAACAGCTTAATACAGAAGCTTAGTGACACACACACACACACACACACACACACACACACACTATCTTCATGGGGATTGACATAATGCAGTCCCTTACCTCATAACCCTGATGGTGTGTTCCCACAGAAAGTGAAGCAAAGTTTCGTGTGTAAATGCAATCTGTGAATATTCACCTTTAATCTTTTTTACTACAGAACCCAAAAATACATTTTACTGTGATTTAATTGCAATTCCTAAAAATTATGCTGACATGATGCTGATTTGATAAAAATATGAATTCGTGCTTTGTCAGATGACAAGCAAGTAACCTTTAAAATGGTTGTATTCTAAATGGAGATTGGCTCAATCAGGGCTATTCTAACTTGTTTCATAGTTAAGTCCAACGACACCTGGAATCAAGTTGCAGACAAAACCTTTCCGAATTTATCAGGGAGTTCAGCTTCCTTATTCAACATGCCAAAAGGAAGTGGACGAGTAAAGGAGGCAGAGGAGGAGGTGAAGAAGAAGAACGCGACAAAAGGAAGTGGACGAGTAAAGGAGGCAGAGGAGGAGGTGAAGAAGAACGCGACAAAAGGAAGTGGACGAGTAAAAGAGGCAGAGGAGGAGGTGAAGAAGAATAACGCGACAAAAGGAAGTGGACGAGTAAAGGAGGCACAGGAGGAGGTGAAGAACGCGACAAAAGGAAGTGGATGAGTAAAGGAGGCAGAGGAGGAGGTGAAGAAGAACGCGACAAAAGGAAGTGGACGAGTAAAGGAGGCACAGGAGGAGGTGAAGAAGAACGCAACAAAAGGAAGTGGATGAGTAAAGGAGGCAGAGGAGGTGAAGAAGAAGGCCACAAAAGGAAGTGGATAAGTAAAGGAGGCAGAGGAGGTGAAGAAGAACGTGACAAAAGGAAGTGGACGAGTAAAGGAGGCAGAGGAGGAGGTGAAGAAGAAGAACGCGACAAAAGGAAGTGGACGAGTAAAGGAGGCACAGGAGGAGGTGAAGAAGAACGCAACAAAAGGAAGTGGATAAGTAAAGGAGGCAGAGGAGGTGAAGAAGAAGGCCACAAAAGGAAGTGGATAAGTAAAGGAGGCAGAGGAGGTGAAGAAGAAGAACGCGACAAAAGGAAGTGGACGAGTAAAGGAGGCAGAGGAGGAGGTGAAGAAGAACGCGACAAAATGAAGGGGATGAGTAAAGGTAAAGGAGGCAGAGGAGGTGAAGAAGAACGCAACAAAAGGAAGTGGATGAGTAAAGGAGGCAGAGGAGGAGGTGAAGAAGAAGAACCCAACAAAAGGAAGTGGACGAGTAAAGGAGGCAGAGGAGGAGGTGAAGAAGAAGAACGCGACAAAAGGAAGTGGACGAGTAAAGGAGGCAGAGGAGGAGGTGAAGAAGAACGCGACAAAAGGAAGTGGATGAGTAAAGGAGGCAGAGGAGGAGGTGAAGAAGAACGCGACAAAATGAAGGGGATGAGTAAAGGTAAAGGAGGCAGAGGAGGAGGTGAAGAAGAACGCGACAAAAGGAAGTGGACGAGTAAAGGAGGCAGAGGAGGAGGTGAAGAAGAAGAACGCGACAAAAGGAAGTGGACGAGAAAAGGAGGCAGAGGAGGAGGTGAAGAAGAACGCGACAAAAGGAAGTGGACGAGTAAAGGAGGCAGAGGAGGAGGTGAAGAATAAGAACGCGACAAAAGGAAGTGGACGAGAAAAGGAGGCAGAGGAGGAGGTGAAGAAGAAGAACGCGACAAAAGGAAGTGGACGAGAAAAGGAGGCAGAGGAGGAGGTGAAGAACGCGACAAAAGTAAGTGGGCGATTAAAGGAGGCAGAGGAGGAGGTGAAGAAGAAGACGACTAAAGGAAGTGGACGAGTAAAGGAGGCAGAGGAGGAGGTGAAGAAGAACGCAACAAAAGAAAGTGGACGAGTGAAGGAGGCAGAGGAGGAGGTGAAGAAGAAGACGACAAAAGGAAGTGGACGAGTAAAGGAGGCAGAGGAGGTGGTGAAGAAGAACGTGACAAAAGGAAGTGGACGAGTAAAGGAGGTAGAGGAGGAGGTGAAGAAGAAGAACGCGAGAAAAGGAAGTGGACGAGTAAAGGAGGCAGAGGAGGAGGTGAAGAAGAAGACGACAAAAGGAAGTGGATGAGTAAAGGAGGCAGAGGAGGAGGTGAAGAAGAAGAACGCGACAAAAGGAACTGGACGAGTAAAGGAGGCAGAGGAGGAGGTGAAGAAGAAGAACGCGACAAAAGGAAGTGGACGAGTAAAGGAGGTAGAGGAGGAGGTGAAGAAGAAGGCCACAAAAGGAAGTGGATAAGTAAAGGAGGTAGAGGAGGAGGTGAAGAAGAAGAATGCGACAAAAGGAAGTGGATGAGTAAAGAGGCAGAGGAGGAGGTGAAGAAGAACGCGACAAAAGGAAGTGGATGAGTAAAGGAGGCAGAGGAGGAGGTGAAGAAGAAGGCCACAAAAGGAAGTGGATAAGTAAAGGAGGCAGAGGAGGAGGTGAAGAAGAAGAACGCGACAAAAGGAAGTGGATGAGTAAAGGAGGTAGAGGAGGAGGTGAAGAAGAACGCGACAAAAGGAAGTGGATGAGTAAAGGAGGCAGAGGAGGAGGTGAAGAAGAAGAACGCGACAAAAGGAAGTGGATAAGTAAAGGAGGTAGAGGAGGAGGTGAAGAAAAAGGCCACAAAAGGAAGTGGACGAGTAAAGGAGGTAGAGGAGGAGGTGAAGAAGAAGAACGCGAGAAAAGGAAGTGGACGAGTAAAGGAGGCAGAGGAGGAGGTGAAGAAGAAGGCCACAAAAGGAAGTGGACGAGTAAAGGAGGCAGAGGAGGAGGTGAAGAAGAAGAACGCGAGAAAAGGAAGTGTACGAGTAAAGGAGGCAGAGGAGGAGGTGAAGAAGAACGCGACAAAATGAAGGGGATGAGTAAAGGTAAAGGAGGCAGAGGAGGAGGTGAAGAAGAACGCGACAAAAGGAAGTGGACGAGTAAAGGAGGCAGAGGAGGAGGTGAAGAAGAAGAACGCAAGAAAAGGAAGTGGACGAGTAAAGGAGGCAGAGGAGGAGGTGAAGAAGAAGAACCCAACAAAAGGAAGTGGACGAGTAAAGGAGGCAGAGGAGGAGGTGAAGAAGAAGAACGCGACAAAAGTAAGTGGACGATTAAAGGAGGCAAAGGAGGAGGTGAAGAAGAAGGCCACAAACAGAAGTGGAAAAGGAATGGAAGCATGGCATGAAGGAGGTTGAGGAGAAAAGATGAAGGAAGTAGAGAAGAAATGAAGGCAGTGAAGCTTGTAGAGGAGGAGAAAGGAGGAGGCGGCAGAGGTCAGAGGAGGTGAAGCAGTGAAGCTTGTAGAGGAGGAGAAAGGAGGAGGCGGCAGAGGTCAGAGGAGGTGAAGGACTTCATCAGCCAACAGATTATCCTGTAATACCGAGTGTTTGTGTTCCTCATGTTGAGACATAAATGTGTTCTGCAGCTCCACATAACGTAAATCATTAAAGCCTTGGTTTAAGTAAGTAAATGTAATGATGTCTGTCAAAGTTATTAAACGGCCGTCAGGATATATGATTTTTCGGAAAAAAAAATTTCATTAGTAACACAAAACACAACTAAAAATATATAAAAATACAATGTAAGAATTATGCAGGAGAGGTAAGAAACCCCCAAGGGCTTAGAGTAAAATATAAACACATAACAAGAGATCTGAAGTCAGAGTAGATAATTACAAATTACGGGAAAAATATTGCATAAGACGCATCAAACGGGCTACTCGGGTTACACCCACGCTCAACAAGCCCTCAACCCAACTCAAGCTGAGAACTATCGGCCAGTTTCACCTCTACCATTTTTATCCAATGCTATTGAACGGGCAGTCTTCAGACAGAATTCCTCTCACGGAATGACCTCCTAGATCCATATCAGTCTGGTTTTAAGAGTGGCCACTCGACTGAAACGTCTCTGTTGTCTGTACCAGAAGCCCTAAGGTCAGCTACAGCTGCAGCCCGGTCCTCGGTTCTTATCATCTGCCTTTGACACAGTCAATCACAGCATCCTGCTATCTGCACTCTCAGCAATGGGCATCTCGAGTAAAGCACTCCTGTGGTTCGAATCCTACAACGTTTTGTGGCAAGGACAATTATCCTCCTCCCGCTGCCTCTCCACAGGGGTGCCCCAAGGCTCAGTGCTAGGGCCCCACCTCCACCACCTCACTGGGGCCGATCACACGGCTTCTCTTACCACTGCTACGCAGATGACACGCAACTCTACCTATCCTTCCTGCCAGGCGATCCCACTGTCTCGGCGCAGATCACAGACTGTCACTCAAACATATCTGCATGGATGAAGGCTCGCCACCTTCAACTAAACCTCTCTAAGACTGAACTCTTGGTCATTCCAGCCAAACAATCTATCCACCATAACATCAAACTACAAACTGGCTCCTCAACCAAATACTCCAACCAGGGTGGTGAGAAACTTCATGATAGATGTCCAGCTTTCCTTCTCATGTTGCTACTGTCTCTCGGTCGTGCTGCTTTGCTCTTTACAACATAAGAAAAATCAGCCCTACCTCACTCAGTACGCCACCCAGCTTCTGGTACAGGCCATGGTTACCTCTCTGCCCTCCTTGCTGGTTTTCCAGCTTGTGCGGTGAGCAGGGCAGCAATAAATACTAGTAAGCGCTAATGGCACATATCACATCAATGGGGTAAAAACCTGGGGAAAGAAGTGAGAGTAAAAAGAGAACAAAAAGTGCAATCAATACAAGATCATTGTAGGGGATAGAAGAAGAAGAGCACAGGAAGTGCATGTTAGAGGTTAGGAGTTAGAGGAAGTGAATCATTGATGGAAACTGAAACGCAGTCAGACTGGTGTCTCACAGTGGATTCGAACCCGTGTCTCTCACAAAGGCATGTGTCGTATCCACTGTCCCATCACCACCACTTTGTTGTTGGAACAAAGAAAGGCAAAATAATAATAATAATAATCATTCTTCATGTTTTTTTCTGTTTGGGAACATTAAACTGTAAGGAAATGCACACCTGTGCCCAGGTAAGGTGACATTCCTCTTTATTCAGGTCATGTCTGGTTTCTGCAGAGAGACTGAGTTATATCTGTGGAGAAGATCACCATCATCAGGAAACACTTTTTTAATAATAAAAGCTGGAGTCAGATTTGTCCTCTTACTGCGCCTTTAATTCTCTCGCTGCCCTCCCCTTTAACACTGAGCTTTCTCTGTTTAATCCCCAATTGGGGGAGAGAGAGAGAGAGAGAGAGAGAGCGAAGGGGGAGGGAGAGAGAGATGGACAGATAGATGGAGAGAGAGAGAGTCAGATTAGTGAACCGAAGCTGAAAAAAGAAGCAGAATTTGTGTCTCCGGATTTATTTCCTTTCTCCTCACTTTTCTCCTGCAGCTGGTGTAAACTGATGAGAAACTGATCAACTGATGAATCGATCCGCAGCTGCAGCAGCAGAGGAGAAGAAGTGGATTAAAGTGGAATGAACGCGATCGCGGGTGAAACGCGGAGAAGTAGTTTGTGAAGGAGCCGATGAGGATGATCAAAGCGGCAGGAAACTGATCAGTCTGCGGATCGACTGAAGATGCTTCTCGGTGTTTGGAGCTGAGAGCGGAAAGCAGCGGAGATGTACGAGGAGAGGAGCAAAAGTAAGAAGTCCTTTTTTTAAAAAGATCTCAGCTGATTCAGCCACAACTTCAGAGTTAAGGATCAGATCGATCAGCTGCTCCTTTAGTCGATCAGTTTCCGGGTGTTTCTTCTTCTTGCTCAAAACATCAGGCTGAAAAGTGTGTTTTTAGTTTTTCACAGCATCAGAGACGTTATTCTCAGTGTCAACGTTGATCCCCCAACACGTGCACGCGCACAACAGAGCAGGATGCTCCTGTCAATCACATCTTTACATCGCTTCAGTCATCAGGCTGCTGATCCCAGGCAGGCACACACACCGCTAACCCTAAAACCAGGTCTTGACCCTCAAATGGTCCTAAACTTGTGGCTCCAGCAGTTTGGTCCCAACAAAGCTGTCGGACCCCACAAGTATAGTGGAACCAAGCCCCCCTGTGGGTGAAACAGCTGACCTGCTCAGGTGATCAGTCTCTCACTGCCAGCTAATCAGGTGCCATCATGTAAAATGACCACTTTTATACAGAAGTACAATTTTGAGGTTCTTATTTGTGCTCCTTTTATTCTTCTACTGCACCACATTTATTTAACATGTTCAGTGACTTTACAGACTTTAATAAGCATAATTAGGGCTGGACGATACGGCCAAAAATGTTATCACGATAAAAAGTTTCAAATCTTTTGATATCGATAATTATCACAATAAGGATCAAATCGTTATTTCTTTGGAGTTTAAAGGCTGATTTTTGCTGCTGAGTGAAAGTTGAAGAAACCTGATGGTTAATTGTGGTTTTAAACTTTTCTGTATGTTCAGAACAAACTTGAGGCCAAACAGCGGATCGCTTCACAAATCTGAGGCAGAACATTCAAAACAATTACGATAAAATCTTTGTCAACAAATATGCACAAGTCAAATTAAGTAAAAGCTGTTCCTCAAGAAAATAAACATCTTAATAGCAAAAATTACGTCCTAATTTGTTGATGATTCAAGTGAATAAAATGAAAAAAATGAATATTTATTGAACATTTGTTATATTGTTATTGTTTTATTGTTCAGGCCTAATAATAATAATAATAATAATACATTTTATTTAAAGGCACCATTCAAAACACTCAAGGTCTCCTTACAAGACATAATGAAACAACAGTGTAGCAATAAATTAATAAAATAAACAAAAAGTGAAATTAGAGTTCATAAACAACAAGAAGACGTTTCTCCTCTTTAAATAACAAAGATCAGCATCTCTCCCTGAAAGGTAACATCGTCGGCGTGCTTTCTTTTGTTTCCTCGTGTCTCTGGATGTGAGTCGCGGCTCATGTGCGGCCCTATCAGGCGACTGACTGAATAAAACATATTCATTCCTGGATGAATCAGAGGACGGCTGCTGGAGGAGTCTAAGTGCCGAGCTCCGCTGTGTCACTATGCGACACTCAGACTGCTATAAAAACGCTCATTACATCCTGCAGAGCTGCTTCCTGTTTCACGCCCGTCCACACAGAGGGATGCTGGTGGTCTGGTAAGTCGTGACAGGAAAGTGGTGAAATCTGTGGTCGGCGGTCAAATCTCACTGTGAGACACGTCCACGTCAGCTGGATGAATATGACCGTCTGCGCAGCTGTTTTCTGTCAGATCAGAGCTTCAGATGAGGTTTCTCTGGGTACCTGCGGTGAACAGTGCACTTCAGCTTAATTAGTTAATGAACAGCCAATCAGGCGAGGAGACAATTTGCCTGAACAGAGAGAGAGAAGCTCTCCATCTTATGGTTAACATTTCATCTATTAAGTGTTGCTTTTATTATTTAAGGAGTGTTGGAGTGAACATAAGCTTCATCTGCTGCACACGCCTTTAGGTTGTGGAAATAAAACAGTATGCAGCAGTTTTTATTTGTTGATGCAAGATATTTCTTTCTCTTTTTATTATGTCTGTTTTAGAATCACATCCACGCATCCAGACAGGAAATAAAGATTCTTCTATGGAGTTAAAGCCGAGTCCACAATTTAAATACCCAGCTGCCCCAGACACAATGTTAAAGCCCACATTACAGGGCCCCTCAAGATAAGGCAACCTGTGCTCGTCACACAGCGGAGCCTCACAGCCAGAGAACACGTTTTCCTTTGAAGGATTTTAGAGGCCTGAAGATGTGAGTCAGTATTTCACAAGAAACAAACAGAGAAAAGCAACAGAAACATATATTTTACTCCTTTAATGGTCTTTTTATTCCTCCGGTTTATCAAAAATGCCCAAATTGACTTTATTCTTTTCACATTGTCCATGTTTGATTGTTGTTTTCTGAGATGTTAAAGCAGAATCAATTAATAAGAGACGTCAGCTCTCATCAGGATCTGCACAGACTATCAAAATAAGAGCCTGGATGTCAGCTGACGGTTCACCCTGAGCAGATACTGAGCAGGTGTACACACCTGTGCGTCCCACTGTCCACCGTGACCCCTGACCTCTGCTGTGATGGCGTTAACGCAGGTCCCGACCTCCATCACTTGGAGAGTGACTCACTTTAATCCCCCTGATCCTGACGGGGAATCAGAGTTCCTGCTCGCTCTCTGTGAAAGCTGAATTAAGGCGGCCTCCACGGACCGTCTGATAACGTTGTCATGGAAATGAGCATTAACGAGGGTGACATCACTGGTTACCGTGGCAGCAGAGTTAATCCGCCCTTTTGTTCCGGTCA